AAGTGGGACAGTGCCCTCCAAAACCATCATCAAATCATCAAATAAGGGAATATCTTTTGAAAGGATGGTGTTTATCCCTTCAGTTGAGTTCCAGAAACTTTGAAAGTCATTGCCAGGTTGCATGAAGAGATCATTTTATATCGTTTTTTTCCCCTTTTATTTGTCATCATCTTATTAAAGCAGTGTGACATTGTTATGGTCACTTCTCATGTCTCACTAATGTGTCTGCAGCACTAAAACTGCTCAGCTGGGGTTGTGCAGCAGTGGAATATGGAAGTATATTAACTTAGTAGATTATTTTCTGGCATTTTTGCCTTTACTGAACACATAAGCGAAGTAGCAGAAAAGAAACTCAGGGCAAAACTTGTCTCTGGCTTTGAATTAAACAAGCAGAGTTGCAGTAATATAACTTCTGGGCTACTAAGGTACACCATTTTAATACAAAAATACACATATTCTTTCCGTGCTTCTCATACTTCCACTACACTGCAAAACAGAGTTAAATATTATACATTTTACTCCAGTCATTTGCTAGTTTTAGTTACAAATTACTTTCAAAAATTCAAATTTTTACATAGGAAACATGCAAAGAGATACCCAACAGTAATTACCAAATATCTAAAACAATTTGGAGATTAATAGAAAATTACATGCCAGCTAGTGTGACTATTATTATTCATGCAATAATCCAAACATTTCATAGTTTCAGCTTCTTTAGCATGAGGATTTGATGCTTTGTCTTCTATTTGGTAATTGTGATTTCTCCATACTTTCTTTAGTTTTACACAATGAACAAACTATTGACTGATGAAGAAAACACAATGGAGCGCAATCCTTAATGAAAATTGTCATAAGATGCAGTTTTGTATAAAATAGTTGCTGTAATGTCGTGGTAATAGAAAGGTTACCATGACATCTGTTTGACTCCAGCCAAGTACCTTCACCAGATGACTTTATCAATCTTTATAGCAACTACATTTGCAACCATGACAACTACAGCAGAATCAAAAATCATAAAACACAGGATTTTTCATTTCTTGTCATCAGTCGACTGTTCACCCTCAAATGAATCATAAAGGCAGAAAAAATCTGTAAAAAATAGACAAGATGAACCGGAAAAACCTCTATGGGACACAGTGCCATGAGAGGAACCGAGAATTAGATTTATTGTCGATCCATCCATCCATCCATTATCTATACACCGCCTAATCCTCACTAGGGGGGCTGGAGCCTATCCCAGCTGACTTAGGGCGAAGGCAGGGGACACCCTGGACAGGTCGCATTTATTGTAGATGAGAAACAAATTATAGGTAAGTGCCTTTTTACATATAATCACTATTTTTAGTGAATGAAGACTGATGACGTATAACTCAACAGTAAATTTAATTTAAGTCTCCTTTCACCCATTTTGAGCTGTAGCTTTGCTCTCTGCTGTAAATTAAGTTACATTTAGGACACTGGGTGGAGCTGTTGACATGAAAACGTTAATGTAAGCGGGCAATTACTTATCTGTAGTCTCAGGTTGTGGAGTTTCAGCAAGCTCACTGCAGTTCATGCTTGTTCATGCATATTATTCATAACATTCTCTACTTCTGCACATACAGGGGCTTTTATTTATCATTATCCCCCTCGGGTCTGTGACCACATAGACCAGAAGAAGAGGAGGTGGTAATTCTTTCACACTTCATGAATCTGAATCTTACACTACAGTCTCACAGTCGCAACAGTGATTTAATTATGTATATATATACCAAACAAACATGTATTAATGTGATTTACAGCTGTACTAATGAAAACTGACCATATTCAAGCTTACAAATTATTTAGTAAATAGAAACAAAAGAGAAAAAAGTCTGTCAAAAACCATTGTTGGCAGTTCGAGAGATTAAACTATAATTTTGTAATATATTTTTAAAAGGTGATTTATCATATGTACATACGATCCCACTATTTTTAATCTGTAACATGACTCAACATTGAAGGAGGTTCTTTGATTATCAAGTCAAATAGCTGATTAGTCATATTTTCAGCTACTTTTAAATATGTATCAGTATCTCCTCCAAAAGCTTCCATTAATCCAGAGGTCTCAGAGGGTCACTAAACTTATCTTGCCATTGAGACACCATTTCTTGAAATATCTGATTTGAGACTAATTTTGTAGTTGCCAATACATATTCACAGCAGAGAGCAGGTGAACACTTGATAGAGTCAAACCCAGAATGAATATCTGCTTTACCTTTTAATGAAACATTGTTCTGTCCTTTCCAGAAATCTTCTTTGTGTGATACAATTACAGGCAGATATTTAACAATAAAGTTCTGGTCAACAACATCGCCAACAATCAGGGCAACAAAATGCATGTGACACACTTCACATCACCTGGATTTGATGACAGAGCTGTACCAGAGGGTATGAAGGATTTAGAAAAGAACATAATGGCAAAAGTAGTCCAGTGTAGAACAAACAGGACAAGCTTAACCTTCCTTTGCTTTGCTTCTCTTTTTGCACGTGAAAAGTGTGGGAAAGTATATAGTTTATTCTTTTGCTCGCTGCAAAGTTGGAGCTGGAATCTAAAGCACCTGTCCTGTAGCTATATACATGAATCTGGGGCTTTTTTCATTGTCGGTGACAAGATATTAGGTTTCACATTAGTCAAATAAATATAAAATGCAGAGGCTTATGAGCTAGTGTGACCTGTTTAAGGTGTATTTGAAATATAATCTTTCTGAACTGAGAGAGCAGATCAGTTTCATTTCCAGTTTTGCAGATCTGGTCAGGTCTGACTTTTCTCAGTGTTCTAAATGAGATATGACGCAGTACACATGTACATATGTAATATGTGAACCCTACACAGCTGGTTCTGTTTTGGACCACAGAAGGTAAAAACTGAAGTCTTCTGCACTGGTACATTTAGGAACCAAAAAAAGTGTACTTTTTGTGTAAAGACTACTTTTAGTTGAGAAATTTTTACTTCCATAATTAACATGATTTGATTTTTTATTGACCAAATATATTTGTACAAGGAGTGTGTCCTTATGAGCTTACACAAAACACAACAATGTTTAGGAGGTAATACAAATTAACATGTGACACATAGATACAAGTTACAAATTAAAGGAAAACCCTGAAGCCTTGACCCCTACACTGAGGGGATCTGGTGACAGTTAACTGTGGGAGGCATTTTGCAGGCATGGTTTGGGTTAATTTGTCCCCTTAGAGAAAAACAAATCACTGCAAAGTTGTTCTGCATGATCATTTTTGTCCTACAAATCTTTTGCTGGTGGAAGTGATTTTTTCCTGAACGACAATGCCTCCATCCAAAGGGCACATGGGGTCACTGAATGGTTTGATGAGCTTTAAAATGATGCCAATCATATGCTGTGGCCTTCATAGTCATCACATCTGAAGCCAGTGTTTTTCCAGCACCATCAGAAACAAAATAACACCAAATAAATAGAACAGTCGTGTATCAGCTCACCAGTAGACCTCTAGAGACTTGTAGAATCAATGCCAAAGAGCACTGAAGTTGGTCTGGCAGCACATGGTGGCCCACACAGGTAGTATAGGATGAAAGTGTGCAGGGATTGCTGAAATAAATATTACACAGGTAATTGAATAAGTCACTTTAATCAGTGGTCATATGCAGTATATGCGTTCATGCATGTCTGTGTTTAGTGTATACATCCATCTATTATCTATACACCGCTTAATCCTCATTAGGGTCGCAGGGGGGCTGGAGCCTATCCCAGCTGACTTAGGGCGAAGGCAGGGGACACCCTGGACAGGTTGCCAGTCTATCACAGAGCTACACTGAGAGACAGACAAGCAAGCACACTCACATTCACACCTACGGACAATTTAGAATCACCAATTAACCTCAACATGTTTTTGGACTGTGTGGAAGGAAGCCGGAGAACCTGGACAGAACGCACGCTGCACAGGGAGAACATGCAAACTCCATGCAGAAAGATTCCGGTGCCCCCCACCGGGACGCAAATCGGCAACCTTCTTGCTGCGAGGCAACAGTGCTACCAACTACGCCACCTTGCAGCCTTTAGTGTATACAGGCTACCTAAATATATATTTGACAGCATGTACATACTTTCACCTAAATTAGTGCTTAAAAGCAGAACTTTTTGTGGTATTTCTACCTATATTTACCTAAAAGGTCTTAAAACTTTTTCTACCACTGCTAATAGTAGCCTATCACATTATTGAACAACTTATTAACACCATCGTTTTCTCCAACCTGAACCACTGCAACACACTGTCCACCAACCTAAATGATACTTTTAAATGTTTACATGGTTTGGCTCTGCTCTACAGCTTAGAAGCCTTACTCCTTGATTCTGCACATTGATGTCTCGGATCAGAGAATCAGTGGCTGTAAAAAGTTCCAAAGTCTGAGCTTAATACAAAGGAGAACCATGCTTTTATTGTTCTAGCTCCAACACTGTGGAACAAGGGGTGGCCTCTCTCACTAGCCTCTTTCTTGCACAGTCACTCAGTTTTTGAAGACAACCTAGGGTCCAGTGGCAGCTACACTTGGTCTTGTAGGGAGGTACTATCCCTGTGGTACACTAAAGGACAGATAACAGCATGTGGCAGACTTAACATGGGCGTTTCATGTGAGAATTTGATAATGTAATTGTTTGGCTGCTTTTTTTTTTCTGCACTCATTCATATTAGGTGAAGAAGATGGTGGTATTATTGCTCTTTTTATTATTTTACTAATGTTTTATTGTTGCTTTTAGTAAATAAAGCACTTTATAACTCCTTTTAAAGGTGCTATGGAAATAACATTTGTTAATATTACACTATTTAAGGATTCACTCTGCAAAAATAACGTACTTAAATATGATTTGTGCAAGATTTTAACGTGCAACAGAGTATGTGAGAAAGACAAAATGAATAATTATAGTTAAAAAGGTGATCAAATCGGCGGTTGTGTGTGTTTGTGCGTGAGTGTCTGCAGTTTCCTGACTCTGTGTGTGTGTGTTTTCACGTGACTTCTCTCAGAGTCTGTGCGCCTCTGAAGCAGCAGCAGAGACGCTGAAAGCAAAAGGAAACGCCGCAGTTTGGAGCTCAAGAAAAAAAAAACTGCTGCAATTTTAAAGCGGACTGTGACAGCCATCTAGGATGTTTTCACTCGGGGAAAAAATGGAGTTTCTCATTGGAAACCCCTTCTCTACGCCCGTCGGTCAGAGAATCGGTAAGTCGCAGTTGCTTTTGAAAAAAAAAAAAGAGTTCCGTTGGATCAATTTATCAACATTTTTTTTATTTAATTTGCGAAACGTGTAGGATTTTCATAGCCCTGTGCCGTTTTAATCTGTGCGTTTCGGTGACTAAAATGTGTAATAATGAAGTGAATTGACAAACATAAAAGTAAGTCTTCAGAGCCAATGACGCAGCAGAGGCGGGGCTTATTTGCCTCAAGCTTCCATCTGATTGGCCGTTACAGCTTAAGTGACAGCTCATTTGGCGAATCCGGGAGCCGCTTTGTGTTTCAGCTCACTTCCTCAATCATTGAGGTGTTCAAGTAAACGGCAGTTTCACACCTTATTTAAAAAGCTTACAGCTCTTCTTTGAATAGCCATTTTTCATGTTGCACAATGCAGAATTTACTTTTTAAAGGCAGCAGGCTGCTTCTTTGTCTGAAACCACTCAACAGCTGTGAAGCCCTCACATCCCACAAAATGCTTTGCTGCTGATGCCTGGAAAGATGTGTAATCAGAACAAGTCATGAGTAGTATGAAAATGTTACACACCCTCCTCAAGCCTTCCTTCCTCTTATCTCATCCACTCATCCACTTTCTCACACATAAATGTCAGCTTCTTCTGAGGCGAATGAGAACAGAAGCAGCTGACAGTCACATGAAGTGGAGGGAGCCGGGAAAGGAGAGTGGGAGGCAGGGAGGCAAAGAGGGAGGGGATGTAAGGAGGGGAAGGGAGTGAATGGGATTGAGAAAGGCAAGGGTGAGGGTTTGGAGAAGTGTGGGGAGCGCTGGTGGAAAGGAATGAAGGAGATTTAGAGACTTAAGAGGAATCTGTGAAGGGTGGAGTGCAAAGAAGGCTGCCTTTGATTGCTGAGTAGTTTAGAGGAAAAGCCCATTTTGAGGTTCTCTAATCAGGTTATTACTAGAAACAGTGGAGGATACCACTTACAGTTATATTTGACATTTTGCCTGTGAGCCATTCAATGAAAAAATCAATCACTAACTCCCATATGACCCCCTCAGAATCAGCTGACTGTAGTATATCTAATGAGGCCGTGTGAAAATATGCCTTCATACTATGAATATTTTGCAAGTGACAGGCTGATACAGCAGGAATCATGGCTAGAAGATAAACCTGATATCAAAACAAAGTTGAAAATAAGACCTTTCATTTGCTGTAACATGGTCTGAAAACCCCCTATCCCACATGGCAATATGACCCTTGAAAGTTTACCCAAAATGCACTTTTTGAGTTTTTTTTCCACACAAATTATGATTAAATTGGTAACACATCCAGGCTATCAATGCTTGTTTCTATAGTACAGACATTTAACTGCTGCAGTTTTGCAATTGAAACTATAAAATATCCGTGATATTGATGCTCAAAGTTGGTTATCGAAAAAAAAACATGCTGAACAAAAACAAGATTTTGGCTTCACATCATGTCACTTGAAATGAATGCAAGATTGATTTAATTGTGGTTCTGAGCAAAATTCAAATGTGTGGGTTTTTTTTTCTGAGATACAGCAGAAACACCCCCCTTATGAAAGCAGACCATCAAATGATCATGTGGTGAACTTGTTCCTTATATGAATATAACTCACTGTGTGCAATATGTCTTGTTTATTGTCTGACATGTTGAGTCTCGTCATGTGATGTTTTATTATTGTGCTCAGATACAGACTTTTACCAGAGTAATCTGTGAAACTGAGCTTAAAAAAAAACAGAAAATGTCCTGTTACAGTGAGGAGCCACAACATTAAAATCTGACATGTTAATTCAAAACCATTGTTTGTTTTTTTAATGGCACTTGTGAAGGGATGGGATACGTTAGTTCTTGGAGTTGATGTGTTGGAAGCAGGGAAAATGGGCAGCGCAAGAATCTGAGTAGAGCTGCTGCAGAACAAATAGCTAAAAACATCAATGCTGGCTATGATGGAAAGGTATCACAACACACTGTGCATCTCAGCTTGCTTCTTTTTGGGGCTGCAGACTGGTCAGAAAGCTCACACTGACCCTGTCCACTACTGAAAGCACATACAATGATCACATTAATGTGTGAACCAGTCCATGGAGCAATAGAAGAAGGTGGCCTGGTCTGATGAAGCACATTTGCTTTTACATCAGGGACAAGCCAGGAGCATGTGCATCATTTACCTGTGAAGAGATGCAGCAGGATGCAGTATGGGAAGAAGGTGAGGCAGTGCAGGAAGTGTGATGCTCTGAACAATGTTCAGTTGGGCAACCTTGAGTCCGCGCATTCACGTGGGAGTTACTTTGACATGCATCATCTACATAAGCACCACGCCCTTCATGGCAACTATTTTCCCTGATGGCAGCAGACTCTTTCAGGAAAATGCAAAAATTGTGCAGGAATGGATTAACAAAGAGTTCAAGGTGTTGACTAAGCCTCTAAATTCACTGGATCTCTGCGTGATGTGCTGGAAACACAAGTCAGGTCCATGGAGGCCACACCTTCCAGCTTTCAGGACATAAAGGATCTGCTGCTAAGATTTTGATGCCTGATACTACAGTACACCTTCAGAGACCTCAGCAGTCATAATTGTTTGAGTGGCACAAAAGGGACTGACACGATATTAAGCAGGTGGTTTTAATGATGTGGCTGATAGCTGTATGTGTTTCCATATCAGTATTACTGTATTAATAATAATTTCATCTGATCCCCTCTCGTTGACAGAGCAAGCAACCATTGGCTCTCTACAGTCGGAGGACTGGGGCCTCAACATGGAGATTTGTGATATCATCAACGAGACGGATGAGGGGTAGGGATGATGTCATTGGCTGTGTTTGGTTTAGGAATTGACTGTATACTGGCCTGGCTCGTTATCAGATCTGATATTTAGCATTTTAACAATTATCTGTACAAGTTTTTTTTTTTTTTTTAACTGATTCTCGATAAAGTAAATTTATTTTAAAATGAACTAATTTGGCTCTGATGCAACTGCCTCTCTGTCTGTAGTGACTCTAGTCTGCAGCAATGTCCCACAAATAGCACTATCTGATTGGCAACACAACATGAGTAAAAGTCTCTCAACACTAAATGTTAAAAACTTGTCTTTTATTTAAACATAAGAAAAGACATTTCAATTGGACTTTGTATTATTCAGAATTTTGACACTAAGATATAAGTAGTTGTGCATTTTAGTTTCAGATGGGTCAGTCTGTGTCATTTCAGGGCAGTGTTGCTCCGCCATCTCCGATTTTGTTCAGAGTTTATACATTATTTGAGACACAAAAAGTTTTCACCATTTTGACAAGTCCAAATATCAACAACCAAAAAAAACCCCAACAACCTGGCTTGCTGTAATTGCTACAAATCAAAACCTACAGGTGTTGGGGGCCTCAGAAGCTGGTGAAATGTCAGCTGAAAACTGGAATTGTATTTGGAAATATGGATATCTCTACACTTACAAGAACTTTCTGGGGCACCAGTACCACCTGCGTTTGAAAATGTTGCACTTTCACAATCTTTAAGGACCAATATTTAAAAAATAATTGACCCTCTGGTGGAGCCCTTCATTTCTGTCTGTGTTCTCACCAAATATCATTGCTGTGGGAGTTTTATTTCTGGAGATGTTGAAGCCCTAAAATGGCTTCCCAAGTAAGGTCTGAAAACATGAGAAATTCTCAAAATTCTGCCCAAATATTTTGCACAAGTTATTTTTGAGTCCAAAATAACAAATAACTAAATTCTAAATAAAATGTGAGACGGTGCAGCCGCATATTTCCTGAATTCTGAATGAGCACAAACTGACCCAAATATCAGTCATTGGTCTCCTTGACAACTATTAATCTGTATCAAACCTGAAAACACCACATCAGTCGATCCCTCGTTTGGTTATTCTGAGACTGGCAGAGATCGTCCTAGTATTTCTCTATTTTTCTTGATCTCTCTCTGTAAATGAATAACTACCAAAACAACTGTCCCTATCTGTTGCCTATCTGTTGCCTCACCTGTCTGTTTAATTAGTGCACTGTACTCTACCTAAGTGTGTAGTTTTTATATCTCTAGTGCTCTTTACTGTGTCACTTCCTTTCTGGTTTTTGCTCTGCAATGCAGCTGGCTGTGACCAAATGACCTACTTAAGGCTGAGCTTAAGCTCTTTGTTTTGGCGCTGTGAGGAATTTTATATCTCTTAAATATAACATTTGTTTTTCACCAAAGGAGGGTCTTCTTTCTAGCTCTTCATTCATGTACACATGATCCATAAACAAAACAGCCTTTATTGATGCTTCTTCAACAGAAAACCCTGTATCTTGTGTTTGCTTGTTAATAATTGTTGCATATTTTCATTTCAAAATACCACAACGGATGACTAAACAGACATCATGTGATACAGAGATTTTTTTTTTTCTCAGGCCCCGAGATGCAGTCAAAGCTATTAAGAAGAGAATAGTAGGAAACAAGAACTTCAGAGAGATCATGTTGGCTCTCACTGTGAGTAATCATCTCTGGATGGTTGCACGTTTACGTTTCATTTGTTCTATCATTCATTGCATTGAAGAATGTCGAGTGTGAGAGCGATCCGAGGACCAGAATGATCCTTGTCCTGGTTGGCTGGTGGCCATGAGGAGATGATTTACTTATCCACTTAAGCAAGCAACTAAGTAAACATTAGCAGTCTTAGTGGATGAAATGAGAGAAAAGGCTTTATTTTGGTGCAACTTGAGTCACAGTTTTTCTATTTTCGATCTGTTGTCTTGTGTTTTAGGTTCTTGAGGCCTGCGTGAAGAACTGCGGCCATCGCTTCCATGTTTTGGTGGCCTCGCAGGAGTTTGTTGAAGGGGTTTTGGTTCGGTCCATTCTGCCCAAATACAACCCCCCTGCTGTCCTCCATGACAGGGTTCTTAGCCTCATACAGGTTTGTGCATGACAGGAAATGTAACAGCAGGGCCTCGGCTTAAGAATGCTTCCCTTATCAAACAATCTACCTGTTGTTTGCTTGATTAATTCATGAAAATGTAAAATAATTAACAATCGTTTTTTTAACCAGAAGAGTTTACTGCTATAGAAATCAAAGAAAAGTAGCATACATTTGTGACATTTTGTCATAAACAGCTGAGATGATGAATTGCTCATTGATGATAAACCTGTTGAGCAACAATTTTCCACTCATTGTTTCCGTTCTCGTCTCCACTTTATTTAATTTTTATTTTATTTTACTTTCTTTAACTGATATGACGCTGTCTGTGCAGTTATTATGAGAGAATTTAGAGGGGTTTTGAAATCCCACGACTTTTAAAGGTTACTTAACTTCGACTCTGTTATGTCTGTGACCAACAGTGTTATCTGTAATGCTCACTGTGGTTCAGATAGCTTCCTACATTCCTACACTACACGGCCAGAGCCACTTGTACGCAATCGTAGACTAGAAGGAACGATAACATTAGATAGAGTCATGCTTGGAAACTCTGCAGAACATTTCCCCCCTGTTCTCTGTCTGTGTTGTTTTTCTCATTTTGTTCTTTTGAATACACATTCAGGAGCCTGTCACGTCTTTATAATTCATCACATGTTCCTGCTTTCAGTCATGGGCCGACGCATTTCGTAGCTCTCCCTCCCTTGTGGGGGTGGTGTACGTATATGACGACCTGAGGAGGCGAGGCCTGGAGTTCCCCATGACAGACCTGGACGCTCTGTCCCCCATCCACACTCCAAACAGAGTGAGACTGCCTGCAAAATTGGAAATACACCATTAAACCAAATGCATGTATGGATATATATTTACATTGTCTCTCAAATCTTGCAGAGTATTCCAGAAAACGGGGCTCCAGAAGCGACCCCTGTCACTGCTCCCACAAGCCAGTCGCAACCAGCAGCTCCTTCCAGTGCTCCCAGTCAGAGTAGCTCACCTCCAGTCCAGCCCAGTGAAGGACCAGCATCACTTTCTGCAGAACAGGTACCATTGTTTACAGCTGGCTTTTTAAAGCTGATAGTGATATGTAGAGTCGATTTCTTGAAAAAAAAAAAATCCTTGTTCGCTCATAAGTGTTGAAAAACATGAAAAAGTCTGAAAAACACCAAAATGTATATGAAAAATAAGCACTGCATGACTGTAATGGCTGATCTGACAGGTGGTCTTTGGTGGGGTGGGAGGAAATACAAGTGAAATGACATTGTTTATTTATTCCTCAAGCATGCAAACAAACAAACAAAGCACATTTAACATACTCAGTAGTTTTTCCATGATCTGGCTTGACCAACCCTAACAACCACAGTCTGGATTAGAACTCCCCTGAAGCTGGTTGTTAACTTAGTGAGTCAACCAGGTTTTTAGAAGCTTGCTATGAGCACAAACATGGACAAATTTTGAGCTACACATTTCTCACAAGGAGAACAAATTATAATCCTCAACCAATATGAGGAGTTTTGTATAGTAATACAGACTAAAAGCACTAAAGCTGCTACAGCCAAAACCATGAATGAAAGCTGCAAAAAAAACCCCTGCAGACTGTGTAAATTAGAGTTAATTAGATTGTCAATATCACTGCCTAATATAAGGCATGATCAGAGAAAAAAAAATATTTTGTATAATTTGCTTACATGTAGATTTTGTATTCAACATTTAGTTTAATTGTCTGTATACAACACAAGACTGTTGAACAGAATTAGAGATAAAGTCCCTTTTTCATTTAATGTGGTATTCCTATAGTGTTTAATGCTTTTTCTTTCAGCTGCTTGATGTGTTGGACAGTTTTGGGAGAAAAGCAGATATTAAAAACACAATTCAAACTGATAAGTTCACTTAATCAAGAAAGAAGTCTCGGTTTTAGGATTATATCAATTCACAAAGGTCTTTTAAACAATCAAGTGACTTTGAACCTGCAGCCTTAAAAACTCTTGCCCTCCTCAGCGTCCTTCTCACAGCATTATCTTTACACCAAGCAGTGCAGGATTGAAGAATGGAGAACTGATTGGCTCATTGGTAATGTTTTAATAAGCATTGATTTGATACCTGAAACATAATTTGCTCTGGAGCAGCTCAGAAGTTTAGCACAAGTTACCATGGTGATGTACCACAGCTAGAGGTGAACCACATTCAGCTTCGTGTCCTGAAAACCCAACGTTACCTCGTTAACCTCAAGCCCTGCTTAGTTGTACAGTCCTTTGGTCTTCATCAGGGTTTGACATACACATAATTAGTCCAAATTATATACTAGCTGGTGGCATTCAAGCCGACACATGTGACCTAGTCATAACTTAGGCACTAAAGCAAAACCATGAACCTATAACATGCCAGAAACTGTAAATGTACAGTGAGGTGTGAAAATGAGCAGCAAGTACTCACACATTCATTTAAAAAGGCTTAATACAATGAACTGATTCCTAAAATGCTGTTTCACATTTATTTTCTGTCAATAAACTAATCTTTGTGGCTCTAATCAGATATTGCAGGACACACATGATCAGTGGGAAATGTGAAATGAAGCTGAAGTTCAGCAGACCCTTGACAGAAGGGGGCAGCACAGACATTTTGTCTCCTAAAGTGACTAATAACACTGTCAACTACTTCACTGCATGACAATAATCTCTGGAACAGAGTCATTGTTAATGTTATTAGTTCCTCTTGAACTTTTCCTGCTACGACAAGTAAAATTAAACCAGCTGCACAAGTTATAAACTGCGTCTGTGCATCTGTGGCTGATTTCTGATATTGAACAATGTTGTGTTTAGTTACCACCAATGTTGCTGTGCAACTGTAACAGTGAACCCAACTGTGGGGCAGCATTTATTTTTTTATTTTGTTTCTATCCAGGAACAGAAGCTGCGCAGTGAGCTGGCATTGGTGAAGGGAAATCTGACAGTGATGTCCGAAATGCTAAATGAGCTAAAACCAGGACAGAGTCAGCCGGATGATACAGAGCTGCTACAGGTGTGTGACAATTGTCTGCTATTGTCTTATAAAAAAAAAATGTTATGTATATATAACAAAAAATTAGAACATATATTCACATTTTTTGAGTGTGTGTGTATAAAAAAGTTAATCTTTTGTTTTGTAATTTGATTCAAAAAGGTAAACTTTCATGCATTCTATATTCACTACATGTAAAATGAAATATTTCAAGACATTTTTTGTTTTAGTTTTGGTGATAATGGCTTATAGCTCAAGAAAATCAGAAATCTAATATCTCAAATTATTAGAATGTTTTCTAAGATCATTTAAAAAAGCATTTACAAAACAGAAATTTCAAACCTCTGAAATGTCTTTTCATCATACACACGTTTGTAATGTGATGAGGTAATAAACATTTTCTATCTAAAAGACCAGCGTCACTGAAACATTATAATGTTTTGTAATAACACCTTTTTTAAAAAATTCAGCACCATAACTTTTGTTATTGTGACCAAATTGCATATTTGGTTTGCCCACCTATTAAATTTAATTCAATGTCTTTACTGTATATATTAAATGAGTCTGAGCAAATGTCAATGTAAACTGTAACTTCACTTATTGACAAGGCATCGTACATGCAGAAAATGTCATTAAGATGCAGAGAGATTGTTTTTATTATTATTTTACATCACTTTGTCACAGTTTGTCTGTTTGATCTTTCTCATACAGCTTGTATATTTGCTTGCTTTGGTTTTATATAAGTTCAAGGCCCCACTCATATTGTTGCCAGAGGATTCTGGGAAATGTAAAAGTCTGTTAAGCAGGATGGCAAAATAGTAAATTACAGCATTTGATATTTTGATAACTCTTGGAACAGATTAAATATCACAGGTTGATTTTTTATTTTTTTATTTACTTATTTTTTAAATTTTGTTTCTTTTTATTTTTGGTGAGGATGAACTGATCTCTTTCTGCCCAAGCAGCAGCTGTTCTCAGTGTGTCAGAAGATGCAGACTCGAGTGGTGGAGCTGATTCCTCAGTTGATAGATGAAGGATTTATTGAAGAGCTGCTTGTGGTCAACGATGACCTCAACAACGCCTTCATCCGCTATGAGAGGTTTGTGGTTTGGACTCTGTTTGCAAGACTGTTATTTTCTGGAGTGAGGCACAAGTGTACTGTGGTGAACATTATACTGTAATTATGTTTTAGGTTTGACAGGCTGAACAAGGCACAAATTCCAAACACCCAGCAGGTAAAAATGTCGCTCTCTTGTGTTTGAAACAATAAATGTGGTCCAGTGTGTTTTTGAGATTTAAGCTTCTTTTTTTTAAATATAATTTAGACTGTAAGTGTAGTGTATAAGCTCTCTCACTAAATAGGTGAGACATGTACTGCACTGTGTGTTTGCAGAGCTCTACCTCGAGCCCCATCGACCTCAGTCCTGAGCCTTCCACTGTCAGACAACCTGCTGTAATTGCAACAAGCAGCCAATCAACAGTGAGCACCTGGACCAATCCACAACAAGCAGCCAATCACAGTGAGCAACCTTTCTTTGCAACCCACAATCTATATGTGTGTGTTTTTTTTAGCAACTTAAAAGTATATTATGTAACATTTCTGCATTAAAATGTCTAAAAGTGACTAGACCAATGTTATGCATTTTGTTGACTTGTGCACTTGTATTGTCCCAAATGTTCAAACTTTGAGAAATCTGTTGTTTTATTCAGTGTAATGGGAAAGAAAGAAAAAAGGAAAAAATAGCAGCTGATACGTCCGAAAGAGTGGAAACGAGAAAAAAAGTAGACAAACTAGCAAGTTAATGTTTTATCTCATAATGAATCATCATGATTTCAATATGATTGTTTTGACCACAGATCCTAATGAATCATGATTAAAGTTGACACATAACTCTGATCTCAGTAGCTGTACTGATAGTCAACTCATCTCATGCAGCTATTTCATTAGAATAAAACGACTTAAAATGAAAATACGTGACTAAACACAACATAAATGAAACTTTAACACAGTTTCTCGTCTGTGACCTTAATTTCTGCTTGAGTCATGTCAAAATGTGAAGAAAACAACTGCAACGATCCCACGCTACTTCTTTGAACCATGTGTTTTGATTGAGAGACCCTTAGCAGTAGAAATTACATACTGTGTGTTTAAGTCTTGTTTTTATAGTTCTATTTCTGGTAGAAAACACAAGATTGCGGCTGAACATGACATATGCAGGGAATATTACAAATACTTGGGCTCGGGGCTACCTGAAAGCGGATTGGTTAGAAAAAACACCAAATGAGCACCAATGTAATGAGCAGTAGATACACCAGTTCAGTTTCCAACCAGCCGAACCTGTGTTGCATGCCTGTTTTTTCAGTCTCGTCACTGTCCCAGTCAAATCAAGGCAAAAAACAAACAAACAAACAAACAAAAAAAACCAAAAAACAAACCCAAAATAAATCTTTAAAAAAAATGACAAATGACAGTGACTATGTGGGAAATATACTGTTGTACTGTGCAATTTGTCATCTTTAATATGCGAATGGATACAAATTCAGATTCATTACAAAAACTTTTTCTTCCAGTCTAAAATCTAATATTCTGTTTGCAGAAGAAGAGGAGGAGTTTGACATGTTTGCCCAAACCAGAGGCAGCTCCCTGGCAGAGCAGAGGAAAAGGTGAGTAATGCTAACTGGTGACAGACATTAATCATATCAATATGTCTGCTGCATTTACTTAAGCTTGATTGGATTTGCAAAACATATCTCTGCCGTTTATTTATGAGCAGCCTGCTTCGTTGTATTAGTGATAACAAGATACAAAAAGATATCTATAAGTACAATCTGCCTCGTGAGACTAGAGTGACTTTTGACGCAAAATTGAATTCAGATTTTCATCTACAGACGAAGAGACGCCTCATAAAGAACATACATGCTGCTTTTGATCATGTTAACTTATACTATTAATTGCTTAAATGCACCTTTAGGAGGCTTTGGCTTTGAGAGCAGCTTAGAACAAGATGAAAAGTTTGCAGAAGTCTTCTGTCAAGTGGCATGGTGTGTGTATAAATCTGACGGATGATCTGACCATGCAACACATCATAAATAACTGGCACCACTTAGGACAGATGCGATGGAAGGATTTCTCATTTTGCAGCTTTAGGTCCTCCATCCTCACGTCACCTCCTCCCATCTTTCTCTCACATCATTGCTGGTACGAGCTAAGATGTAAGGAAGAGATGAGGAAAGTGTTCATGAAAAGCACCCAGAACGTTTAATAGTGATCTTTGTTAGAAAGGGTGCCGTAAATGCCCCACAGAATGCTGCTGAACGATAAAAAAGCAAATGTTTTCCACGAGATGCCAAATTAATATGTATTTAAGACATTATTGGCTATTTTGCTATTTAGTTTCATTTTAACACAACTATTAAAATGGATAGTTATATTACTTATCTAATTTCTAAGTTCACTTCACTTCTTTAATGCTCAATAATGTGCAATGACTTGATGCAATAAAAACATATCTATGTACAATAACATGCTATTTAGTGCACTCTATGTTACACTTTAATGTCTTAGGAAAAGCACAATTTACATTTATGCTTATACTGTTTTTACTTATGTTCATATTTTTAGGTCATATTTTTCTACTTATATTTATCTATATATTTTGTACTGTTAATATTTCTAACTTTGAATGGGAGCTACTCTAACATAAGCAATTTCCCCTCAGGAATCAATAAAGTGTTTCAGATTCTGATACACCTACAAATATAGTTTCTGAGCATGTGTATACCTTTTTCATGATAATTAATGATGTAGGCTTATTAAAACTGAGCCCATCCATATGTGCGTGATCCTGGTGTTTGTGTGTTCAGTGTCAGATATGAGGATCCAGGAGCTGTGGAGGGCCTCGCCGGAGCTCTGGACACAAGGTTGCAGGTCACAGCAGGGGTGTGTATACCACAGTCACACACAGATGGATTTAGATATTGTGAATATTTCTGGGCTAATGCTGCAAACTAAATAGAACCCAGAGTTTTCATGTTTCTGTCTTGATGACTTTTTTTCTTCTAGATGCAACCATCAAAAAACACCCTGCAGAACAATATCGACAAATGGTTGTCTAATGATATGGTAAGAGAAAGCAGTAAGTTGATGTGTTGTGCAAAACTGCAGGATGTGTGTTAAAAGTATGGCATTGTTTTCTATCTTTTTGTGTTTTTGAAAGCAGGAGGACCAGTCTTCAGTTTGTGAGGGAGTCTCCAGTGAAGGTTTGTTGTTTTCTTTGCTGCCGTTTGGTTGCAAACATGATCTTTATGCACAAACCTTTAACTCTGCTTTACCCTTTCAGAGTTTGATAAGTTTCTGGAGGATCGGGCGAAGACGTCGGACTACAGCAGCCAGACAATTCGCAGCGTGCCGTCCTCCACACCCAGACCGCCGCCATCGCAATCCAGCCGGCAACAGGACACGTCGCACGACCAGCTTTTCTCGCTCTGAATGTGCGAACGAACGGGAGGAATCGAGTGGAGGTCAACATAGTCATATCATCAAATTAAAATGTGCCTACAATCAAACACACACACACACACACACACTCTGTGCCAAGTCAGGTTTTCTCTGACAGCGCACACACAGGAATTAAAACCTGCAAACAGAACTACTGCCTAATCAACTCTTTTCATAAATGCTGTATTTGTCTGTATGTCTGCTGTTTGTTATCTAGATGTACATATAAGCAACTTTATGTGACTGTATTTAAGATGTATGATTATAATATTGAGGTAAACAAAAAAACTTAGATGTTTACAGTTGGATATGATGCAGAAAATATATTTGCTATCATACCATCATGTGCCTTTGACCCAGAGAGCTGATTTTGTGTAGATGACAATAAATGGAGCCTCGTTGCCCAAACATGTTTCATCTGTTTTTGTTTTATACATTTTTTTACTTTGACGAAAATGACAAGACTTCCTGCAATGACGGCTTCCAGTGATATAAGCTGAGGTCTTTCAATTTCAACAAAACTGACTTCAAATTTCTCGTCCTTGACTGTATTTCCTGTGAATAATGGAACTTCTTTTCATCTCCTAAAAATGTCCCCATAACAATAACCCATTTTTTTCAAATATACAACAGAAAAAAATTTCTTCAATTGAAAAACAGCACAATTCCTGCTATATTTTTTTGGGACTGGAGACTTAGTCAAAACATTAGAGCCTTGAATAAGAAGTGGGAACTCAGGTGTGTTCTGGCCACACTCAATAATGTTCTGATAAGGAGCTAAATTAAACATGTTATTGTTCGAGAGCTCAAGGATGTCTGGAGTTGGGTACACCAAGTCCTGAAAAGCACCAAGAAGAGAACCCATTTCGGAGCGGGTGAAAAAGGAAAATCAAAGTGAACAAATTTCATTCTTCAGAGCGACTATCCAGACCTGACGACCATGTGCAGAACATTTTATTTTACCGTCTCTCTCTGCTGGATTTCTGTGTTTGTCCTCCTGCATGGATCTGCTGCCTTTACTTCTAATATTTCAACCCAAAATCTGCTTCCAAATGCAACTGCTGGTCAGGATCAGGAGGATGCAGACTGGGATTCATCATTTCTTCAGCTGAGAGCGAGTCTACCATCCTACTCGCAGCCGATCCGACCATACTCCCTCCTGCCACAAGCTGAAGACTACTTCTACATGCCCAAACCCAGACATCGCCGGCCTTCTCGCCTCCTGCGTCTTCTTGGACCCTCTTTTGACCCGTTCTGGATGTCCATAGATCAGCCTTCTGAGGCCTTGGAGGGAAGTCAACCTTTGCAGCATGGACTACCCAACTACACCATCTTCAAGGAGAAGTTTAACCTCAGTTCTTCAGAGCTGAGAGACGCTGCAGCGAGCCATCGACAGAAGCTGGAGAAGGAAGCTGCAGAGCTGGACTTGAGTTCTCTGCCTTCAGATGTTTCCAATTCAGTCAGAAGCTGGTTGGTGCGTTCAGCGACATGTGATCTGCACTACCGATGGGTAGATCTGGGCCCAACTTTCTGGCCACGTTGGCTGCGGCAGACTGACTGTGAGCAAGCAGATGGAGAGAAAAGTTGCTCCTTTCCCGGCGGGATGAAATGTGTTCGAGCTCAGACAACTCACATAAAGATCCTAGCTTGGCACTGCATAGAAATCAGAGACGGATCCAGAGGGATTAAAGAGGAAAGGTCTGATGGCAGCAAGGAGATGGAGACAGGTGAAGCACTGAAAAGGTGTTTATGGAGACAAATACCTTATCCTGTGGTCACTGTATGTGTGTGTTCATGTTAATGAGTGTTTTCCTCATGTTTCAGTCCTCATCTGCTGCTTGGTTTATGTGTGCATGCTGGGAATGCATTAAATACTTTCATCAGTGATTTTTAGTTGCATTTTCAATCAAATTATGTTTACTGATTTTAGAAATTGCGGCTTTTTATTATTCAGATACGGAATGAACCCTCATATTGCTGTTGCTGTCTTTGGGTAGAATTAATAGCAGAATCTGTGTCTTTGCAGCGACGTTTTCAGTACAGACTTTTCACTTCCTTATATATCTGTCTTTTGTGATGTTGCATTGGTATTGATCAAAGCGAAACATGTATTTGAATGTTACACAGTAAAGAGAAGACAAGAAATGCTCTGTTTTGTCTGTCTAAAATAACCTCGATGCAACAAATGACATGTAACTGCAGAAAATATCAGCCTTTTCTTTCAACTTACACAAAAAACAGTTCATTGTGTGTAACAATTGCCTCCACAATAAAGCTACAAATGGAAAAGTGATTTTAGATTTGGTGTCTTCTTAATTTGTACTATTCTGGATGGAAACACTTCATAATTATCATGTGCTTGGTAAGGCCTTTTTTCTGGTTTTGTTTGACATAAATTAAAAATTCACTGAAAGACTAATAAGACTCCAGATCACATTTGTTTTAACAGGTAACCATGTCATAATAGGGACAAAAACAATAACATATATTTCTCTCTTTGAGTGACACAGAGAAGCCGATACATGGTTTTATTTGGAGTCGGCTTGACTTCTGCAATGCAATTTTATTTATCTGCCCAAAAATGTTAAAAACCAGCTATAGCTGATTCAGAACTCTGCAGCTTGAAAGTGCAACACATTCCGCCGACTTTAAAGTCCTTATAAAAAAAATCTATTATGCTGTAATCTAGCTTGATTATAGTCTCTAGTTTTTTGTCTTATTATTGGCTTATTGGTTGTAAGGCTGTATGAAAGGTGCTGTACAGTAATAGTTGGATTTTTAATTGATTTTTGAGAGTATAAGCATGACTAGTGATGATTGAAAGTAGATTGATAAAATGTGTTCACTCATTTTTTTTTTCTATTTGATTGTATGTTATCTTTTACGTGCTTTTGTTTTTGCTTTATTTGTGAATCAGTTTCAATTATTCTATAAAATGTGTGTTCAATTTATTTGTCGTGTCTGCTTTTGTTTTTTTTTTTTTTGACGCATTTTATTCTGTTGTATTTGGGAAGTACCTTTGCCTGTGAAGCACTGAGTGAGCTCTGTTTACAATAAGCTGTTATATAAATTAACTTACTTGCTTGCTAGACACTTCCCTCGCCAACCATAGAAAAATAAATTTAGATTTTTATATTTTTATAAATATAAATGTCACACAAAGTTAGACGTGTAGGTTAAAGCTCCGAGGCGCCCTGAACGCGGCAGTGAGGTTCCGCCCCCCTCTGAGCTGAACGACTGTACACAGACAAGATGGCAGCTTCATTGGAAGACGAATTCGAAGATGCGCCTGATGTGGAGCCATTAGAACCAACTCTGAAGAATATCATCGAGCAGAAATCCCTGAAATGGATATTTGTGGGTGGAAAAGGTGGAGTTGGTAAAACGACATGTAGGTAAGTGGAATAAAAATGCTATTTTCCATGCTGATTTCGACTCCGGCTAACGTAGCTAGCTTAGATTAGCTGTTACCATAAGTTGACGTGGATCTTTGTCAGCAAACGAGTAAAATGGGTTAATTTCTCCACGACGACAATTTAGCGAGACTTGGCTCTCTAGCTTATGACACCGTGGGATCAAATTCTCACCGCTGTTACGTTTTAGGTGATTTGGTTTAGCGCCAGGTGTCTATTTGCCGGGTAGTCGAGGGCTGTCAAGCACAGTCACCAGCTAACATTAGCCAGCGGCGACGCTGAAGTTAGCTTCAGATTCGTAGCTTCAAGTTCGGCAGTTCAGGAGAAAGTTAAGGGAAATTTACCACCGAGACACCGATTCTTCGATTTTGTCACATTTTAATGATGTTAAACAGTGTTGGAAATGTTAGGAAAGCTCATAATGCCGTCTGAAGACCACTTTGAAATTTGTTTTCTGTATATAATTTGTGAACATGCCAAAAGGTAGAGGTTATTGTTTTTTTGTTTTTTGCATGCAGATCACGTAACTTCAGAATTACGTAAAAATCTACTATTTATAGATCGAGTGAATCTGGGCTATAGAGGCTAAAGACCTTCAAACACAGTTTCTGGTTTGTAACACTTTTGCTTTACTTGTGTGAACACACAAAAGGGGAAACTTCACTGCTTTTTATGTATGTAGTCCATATTACATCAGGGGTCCGTTTCACAAAGCAGATTTAATGAAAACTCTGAGTCTGTTAACCCTTAATAATCTTTTCCCTCTGTGGGATAACCTAGTGTAGATTTGAGCAGTGTATTTATAGCTGTTCTTGCTTTTTTGAACGCTTAACTGGATGTGATCTTACATGGTCTGCATGCACTTAAAAGCAGTGGGAAACACCCCTGGAATGTATTTTTTAATTTTGTGGTCAACATGCTGGAAAAATCAGACATCCTCCATGGTTTTGCATTTTCAGTAATAGGATAAAGGAAAAACGTGTCAAAAAAGAGAGAAGCATCAGTCTCGCAGCGATGTAACTTAAGTTTCCTTCAAATTTCCCCTTAACTTCCGACTCCGACGCTTCGAATATGAAGCCAACTTCAGCGTCATAGCCAGCTAACACATGGAATCATGACTTTCTCAGCTGGTTCATTATCACGGTAGAAGTGACACAGGAAGACTCGTTGTTCCACATTTTCTCCATTATTTATTGGGAGAACCTTTTACTTAATGTTGTATTCCTTAAAGTTAACTTGAACCTAAGGTCATGGACACGCACAATACCCGGAGGTAAAGATACACATGCTAGCATTAGCTGTTGAATCTACATTAAAGTTTAAACACCATGTTTCTTCCTCTAACTGTGGCCTAAGTCACTGACTGATGCTAACAATACCAATCTGAATATAGATACAGTGCCATAGGCAGGAATGTAATCGTAGATTAACTCGTTTCATTGCAGTAACTGGTGTCCACAAAGTTCAAAATAATGATGTTTTAGGTCAGTGCTGTTAGATGATTTATAGATGTGGCGCTGACATGAGACATCCATCTCCTCTCCTCTGTCCGTTTGCCAGCTGCAGTTTGGCTGTCCAGCTGGCTGCAGTAAGAGAGAGCGTCCTCATCATCTCCACAGATCCTGCCCATAACATCTCTGACGCTTTTGACCAGAAGTTCTCAAAGGTGCCTACTAAGGTCAAGGGCTATGACAACCTCTTTGCAATGGTAAGTCGCGCCACAGTGAGAACTCTTTTACCACAGTGGAAAAATGGCAGGGAAAGGAGCCAAGCATAAACATGCAAGTGAGGTAGTAGAAATTTGTACAGCAAAAATCGTCTGTTATGTCATTTAAACCAGTCAAATAAAAGTGGCATTTGGAGAATAGAGAAAGCCACTGAGTTCATTTTAAACACCACATTTGGACATAAACACAAGTAAGTCATTCATATTCATGGAGGCAATGCTTATAACTGGAGGAGCAGTTTCCTATATAGTTCATCCAGTTTTGCAGAAAAATGCAGTTTTCTCTGATGAGGCGTTTTTTACTGCAGATGTTTTGACTTGTAGGAAAAGCCCAGGTGTTATTGATAACATTAACAATGGCTCTGATCTCTTTAAACATCCCAGTACGTTGTGATGGCGAGCCAGCAATCACAAGACAGGGAATCCTGCAACTGAAGCAGCTAAAGCTTCAGCATTCGTTATTTAGTTAATTTATTGTGGCTGTTTTATGTGAGAGTGTGTCATTGAATTCAAAGGTTCCTTTTTATTGCATTCAAAAGACCCTTACAATTTGGATAAGACCATAGAGATAAACAAAGAGGTTTCTTTATGCATCTTTTTTGGAAATTAAATTAGAGCATGAAATCACTCAGTGTCATGAGGACAGTCTGTTCCACATGTGGGTCTCAAAAGCACCACTGCGTGCCAAACTGAAATGGCTGGAGGGCATAAAAACACGTTCAGAACTTGTGTAATGTGCTGATTTTTTGGAGTGTGTGTTTTAAAACAGGAGATTGACCCAAGCCTGGGTGTGGCAGAGCTGCCTGATGAGTTCTTCGAGGAGGACAACATGCTCAGTATGGGCAAGAAGATGATGCAGGAGGCCATGAGCGCTTTCCCTGGCATTGATGAAGCCATGAGCTACGCAGAGGTCATGAGGTAAAACAATGTGGTCACTGCAGAGCCAGATTATTCATTCAAGTATTAATGTCATTCTATACTTATACTGCACCATGATTGAGCTTATTAAGAAAAGGTAGTGAGTGTTATATGAAAGGTGGATCCCCCCTGCAGGAGTTTAGGGCTGATTAACCCTGTCTAATAATTGGAGGAGAAATCTGGTCTGAACTGATTGTTTGGAGATGTGTGGGGTTCTTGTGCTGCACACAGACTTTTTAGGGCTGCTTCGATAATATCAAACATTTTTGATATTTCTGAGTTCAGTTTTCTGGTTACATTTATCACAGAAGCACCTGGAGCAGCCAAAGCAGTTGCCAAGCAACGCTAAGCCTTCTAGCCCTTGAGGCTAACGTTAGCCACAGATATTAAAACTGACAGTTAAAATCTCATCTCCAGTTCTCATTGAAGAACAGATAAACGGTGCTGACCACATCTCCCCATCCACATTCTCCTCCAGACACATTTAGCTTTCGGATTTATCTTTTTCTCACTGCAAAGTATAATTAGTGTTACAGCAAGTTGATGTTCCACAGTCTCAGTTTTGTTTACAATTACGCCCCCATGAGATCATGTGAATTAGTGCTCTGCTCCCTAATTGCTCCCTTGGGCAAAATGATTTTAATAAGATCTTGTAGCGTGTGATGCGCTATTATTTTCAGATCTTCTCATGTGTGCATGCCTGACATTGGAGAGAAGATAATCAGTGATATTTCTCCTTGTGTGTGATGTAGTCCTGTTAGGATGTTAAAACTCCCGTAGCATGATCCCAGTCTAACTCAGGACTGCTGTCTACTTGTGCCTCAGGTTAGTAAAAGGAATGAACTTCTCCGTGGTTGTTTTTGACACTGCCCCTACTGGTCACACACTGCGACTGCTCAACTTTCCCACCATTGTGGAGCGAGGCCTGGGCCGCCTCATGCAGATCAAGAACCAGATTAGCCCATTCATCTCTCAGGTGAGGAGGGATGATCACATCAATTATTTATTACTTTTTATTACATTTTAACTATGACTGAAGCCCTTACAACAGTCTCTGTCTGTCTCTTTGTCTCGCTCTGTTTCTAGATGTGCAACATGCTCGGTCTGGGCGACATGAACGCAGATCAGCTGGCCTCCAAACTGGAGGAAACCCTGCCAGTCATTCGCTCTGTCAGTGAGCAGTTCAAAGATCCTGTAAGTCACACTTATATTTAAAAGTTGTTACCGTCACTTTGAGATAGCAAGTGTTTTTGTGCAGTTGCTTTAATGTTGTTAGTTTTTTTTTTCTTGTGTTTATGTAGTCTTTTCACACATTATACTTTAGGGCTGGGGGATCCGGTGATCTTATATCGCAAACTATCCAATTTTAGTATGATGTGCTTTTTAGAGGAATCCTACAGATGGCTTCATTCATGGTGCTATATGGGATGTTTATTACCAAAGTAGACTCAAGTCAGTAAATTCCTGAGCAGAGATCTGTGCTTTGATCACATTTTCTAGTTTTCTGTGGTCAAATTACATTTAAATTTGATAATGAATGAGGACAGGTTCTCTCAGAAATACTTTACAGTTTGCAATGTTCTTATAAAGTTTACATTATTGTAATACTGGTATTAATGTGATTTGGTCAGATTTTGTTCAAAAAGCCAAGAAGGAACAGACTGGTTAAGTGAATTAGTGTTAAAGACCCTTTTTGTGTTGACTGCAAATTACAATTTTCAGAGTTTTCTAATTTATTTAAGTGAGGTAAAACTTTACTTTATGTGAGTTGATGTCTAATAATATTTTTTTAGGATTTATTGTAATGAATCAGATGATGACCAGGTATGAGAACAGGAACGTCTGGTACTCTTCAAGCATGAAGGAACATGTGTGATGTCTAACATGGCCTCATGTTAAACCTCACACCAGAACAAGAAATGCTTTGTTATTTTGTTTTTGGTGAGACTCAATCAGCCAAATGAAGGCAACAGAATTAGCGGATGCAGTGATGCGATTTGGACATGTGAGTCAAGAAATGTAGCGGAATAGGTGGAAAACAAAGAAAAGAAAAGGTTGCCTAGATATAGAGCTGAGCACCTTGCGTTTAGGCAGCTTGAATTTCTGCAAAAGACTCAAAGTGTGTGGTTTTGTTATATTTTATATTGTTATATTGTAACAACACTACTTAGAGTTGGAACTGCTGAGAACAACTCAGCACTATTTGTTCTTAAAAGCTTCCCGTATATGTTTTAACTATTCTCCACTGTCCTTGCATCCATCAGGAACAGACCACCTTCATCTGCGTGTGCATCGCTGAGTTCCTGTCGCTCTACGAGACAGAGCGGCTGATCCAGGAACTGGCCAAATGCCGCATCGACACTCACAACATCATTGTCAACCAACTCGTTTTCCCTGACGCGGACAGGCCGTGTAAAATGTGTGAAGCCCGTCATAAAATTCAGTCCAAGTATTTAGATCAGGTACGTTTCAGAAGACTAGAGCGGTGTTATCAAAACCAAAATGTTTAGTATTAAAACTCATGTGTCCTCACTGATGGCTTGTCTTCTCCTCACAGATGGAGGATCTTTATGAAGATTTCCACATAGTCAAGTTACCGCTGCTGCCCCATGAAGTCCGAGGTGCCGACAAGGTCAACACGTTCTCTAAGCAACTTCTGGAACCCTACAAACCCCCAAACAAGTGATCTCCTCCCCCCCACAGGACTTCCTCTTCCTCCTCCTCCTCTTCCTCGTCCTCCTCCTTCTTCTCCTCCTCCCCTCCCTACAGACAACACCACAGTCTGAGCTCCCCCCCACCCCCAAAACTAGCCTCAAACCCTGCAGCAGAAGCCTCAAGACTCATTCCTCAGCCCATCTACAGCAGAGCACGCCCACAGCGAAGGGGAGCCGCCGACGACAACAACACACACATACAGACGCCTCTGTATCGCTAGAGATAAGACAGCACGTGTGTGCTGCCTTACACTCACTTCACCTTCTCTTGTTTTCATGTCTACTGCGACAGTTGTACTATTCCTACTTAAAGCATTTAACATCCTCTCAACTAAAAAAAAAAAACAAAACCCTCGTCCTCCTCCTCCCTCCTCCTCCATCCCGCGCAGTGTCCAGCCTCAGTTGTGAAAAACAAAGTGTTTCCAGTGACGGTGCTATGTATTCCAGGATATAGCAGCTTTTGCAGGTGGTTGATGTGTAATGCTTTGTTTATTCTGTGCGATTCGGTGGCTGTGTCTGTTCTCCCAGTTTGACTTAAGATTGCACACATCTCTCACACATTGGGGAAGTTCCATCCAAATTTCTACAGATTCAGGGTGTGATGGCAGGGCAGTGATAAAAGACACTTAAAAATAAATTTTAAAAAGCAGAATATAGCCTTTGGTCTTGTTAATTTTTGTTCTTGACCAGTTAGGGGTCGATCGATGCTGGTGTTTTTAGAGCTGATACTGGTTTTTGGTCATCAGGCAGACCAATTAATGATATTAATTTGCAGAAAAATGAAAGAAGTGGTGTCAGAATTGAAAATTACAAATTCCGACACAAAACTTCATTGAAATGCCTTTATTTATGTCTGATTCAAAGAAAACCTTTCAACATTTATTGTTCAGGAGATTGCATAACTGATCAGATAGCGCTGTTGGTGGGGCGTTGCTTGAGACTGATGCAGCTGCATTAGAGTCAAAGTAATTCATTTTTATATTCATATAATTCATTGATAAGTGGTTACAAAAAGTTAAAAAAGCTGAATATAAGATCATGCTAATCAGCGGTTGACCCCATTTGTCATTGCAATAAGAAAACTGAAGCAAAAGTGCTTCTTTTACCATCTGTCAGATTGTAAGACATCACATATCGTAAATGTCTGAGCAACAGCGTAACTTTTAAGTCAATTATGAATCAAGTCAAGCTCTATATCCATATACAACCATTTGAACTTAGGCCACTCTAGTCACTTCAGGTGGAATGTTGTCGTGGGCAGAACCAGTTTTATGAGGAAAATGTGTGACGTGGCTTTTGGTGTTTGAGGGCCTGGAAACCAAAAGGAGCTATCTGACACTGCTGAACTCCCAGTTCCCATTCAGCGATCATAAAATTCCTCTAGTGCCCACCTCAGTCACGGATTTCATGTCCATCCCGTTTACTGATATGGGAACACTATTGAAAGATATTAGTAGCCTTATTTAGTGCATTGTTAATTAAAAATATATATCTATATATATTGAATGTACCTTGATCAAGTGTTTTGAACAAATACTGGACTCCAATTGGCTCAACTGACGCAACAGAAAGGTGACGGTTGAATCCACCCTCAAGCAAAACCATACCTTTCCCCTCTTGTCTGTCGTTGAATGCTTTTGAGTCAGAATCTGTTTTCTATAGATTTTCTTTAAATTATGCTGTGAGCGTTAATGAAAACAAACTTGCCTCAGCTGACCGCCTGTATTGTGGTTATTCTTTTGAGTAATCAGAGTGGATTGAAGCACATTTTCAGCCTGCAGGTTGCCTCTGACAGAGCATGAAGCCTCAGTTGACCTTTGGGCAAACCAGTTAACAAGCCTTAAATGTGCAAAACTAGGAAGAAAACATGGAATGCACAAAATATCCATTGTACTTCAAATGTCAACTCTGCTTGGGATATTATCTGCAAGTCATGTTTGGTGCAAAAAATTTATGTTGAGATGCGAGCAATTGGGATTATCACTCCCCACTGAGATTATTTTCATGCTCCAAGAAAAAGCAAGTTTAACAAAAGTGAAGGAGAGTCAGTGATACAACTTTCCTGCACTGGATGATGGTTTGTTTGTCATTAAAGCTGCAACAAGTTGTAAATACAGACCCATAACCGGGGAATTGGTTGTTGTTTTCATATCACGTAACACGAAAGTTTGCCATGGTCCACTGGCTCCTGTTTCATAATTTCCTACTGTACTGTTCGGTCCTGTGCGCTCCTTGTGCCCCGGCGCTGCGGCCTGTCGCTTGTGGTCCATCACCGAACCGCGCTTTCCCGGTCGGGGGCCGCGCTAACGAGCTCCTCCTCCTCCTCGTTTTGGGGATTTACCCCGGGGCGCACTGACCACTTGGACGCACCGAGGAGGCACCGAGGATTACTGCCATGCAGCCGACTGAGCCTCGAGTTAGCGCAGCCGACGCCAGGGGATATCAGAGTTATGAGCTCGATGAAAAAACACCACCGGCGAGCACAGAGAGGACGATACTGCTGCGTGAAAATGTGAATTCGCTTTTCCAGCGGTGCCAATTACGCACGGGGATGCGCTGAGCAATTGACTACAAAAGGTAAGAAAATGCAGTTTAAAAAAAGAAAATGCATTTTAAGTTAGTTCTATAGTCTAATCAAATAGAAAAATGTTTGAACTGTGTAATAAATTGTAGATGCCCAGAGAGTTTTTTTGGTGCGTTAATTTTGTCAATTACGCAACAAACTCTCCACCTGAACTTTGTAGAGGCACACATTTGATCCCAATGGTTTGGACTTTCTTCCTTTCAGCTCTTTTCTCCTGAAGACCTGTGAACCTCCTGTCACTAATGACGGTCACCTACACGGCCAGAGTTGCAAATGCCCGATTTTGTGGCTTCTCCAAACTGCTTTTGGCCTGGAAAGGAAGCATCTACAAGGTGTTGTATAAAGAGTTCCTGGCTTTCTTTGCCATGTACACTGCCATCAGTATCACTTACAGGTAAGAAGGAAAGGACTGTTTTAGAAAAGACTCCGTGTCTTGAATCTTTAATTAATGCTCAATTCAATTTTCATCATTTTTTTTTAGATTTAAAATTTGTTATTTTTTTTAAAAACATTTTTAAAATATATTTTTTAAGGTTTTTACTCTATGATGACCAGAAGAGGTATTTTGAAAAGCTGGCAATCTATTGCAACGACTATGCCAGTCTCATCCCCATGTCCTTTGTGCTGGGTAAGCTTTAGTTATGTTCTTTTAAACTTTTCAAACTGGTCAGTCTCATGTTTATACTTTGATTCTTTTTTTGCATATTTTGAACTGAAAACGTGAATAATGTCAAAAAATATTGTTAATAATGAAAATTTGATTAACAGTTTATGGGTTGTTATGTAAAGAATGGCAGCATTGAGATTTATTGCTCTTAATATTGATATGGATTATCTGACCTGACTGTCCTCAATTAAAACTCTGTGGCTGGCATTTGTATGAATATATTTCTTCTTAAGGATCCCTGAAACGATCCAATTTGCCAGAATCCCTGCCCTGAGTTTACTGAATGCATTTTTGTATTAGTTCTTTCTTTGTTCGCTTGCTTCTTCTTTGTTATTGTCTTCATGCATTTACATAAAGAGAAACACCTGCTTGATGATAAGTCAAAATTATCGTACATTGTTGATTTTCTGTGTATGATTTATGCAACAAAAAAAAGTTTTGGACACTTTGTGAAGCCCAGAGGACAGTATCTGCTACCAAGTTTTATAAAAGCTACCTTTTAGCCCCTCTTTGTCCAACTTGTGCCTGCAGCACACATAAGCACCTGTGCCTCCTCTTTTCTGCTGCTGCTTGCAGGTTTCTACGTGACCTTGGTGGTGAACCGGTGGTGGAGCCAGTACACCAGCATCCCGCTGCCTGACAGGCTCATGTGCGTCCTGTCAGGGGGCCTCCAGGGTAGCGATGAGCGAGGACGCCTGCTGAGACGCACCATGATGCGCTACGCCAGTCTGTCCGGTCTGCTCATCCTCCGCTCTGTCAGCACCGCCGTCTTCAAACGCTTCCCCACCATGGACCATGTGGTCGAGGCCGGTGAGAAGGGGGGTGGTGGCGGCTATATTCTCAGCCAGCAACATCCATCCATGACTGGTGTCCATGCAAATACTCAATAACCCCCCTTTTTAAAACCAGTTGACCTCTGAATGAGCATTAATTAACTGAGATTCTAATGTTGACAGACTTTTCTCACCTTGTATTTGAGGAGTGAACTGAGAAGTTGTGATGTGATCAGTCGCACACTCATGTCATGTTTGCTCTCCTGTACATTCTCTACAGCAGCGAGCATAAAACAAGTCACAAGGACTGGCACATAGTGAAATTCCCTGGCGATAAAAAGAAGTTATCATGAGTGTGTACCAAGAGCATGAGACACTGTAGTAGCAATCCTCTCCTCGCTGTTTTCTAAACTAAACATGCTGCAGCTTTGATTTGCACTGTGAAATTACTTCCAACAGTCGGAGGGTGAACTTTTAGTATGATTTTAGTCTTTTCTTGACTCACTGAATCAGTTCCAATTGACATTCCTACTTTTGTGTGAGCCAAATTTTGCCAATGGAGTGAATAAATCTGAGGCCTGAAGTTTTGCTGTGCCGTTTGTGCAGGATTCATGACGAGAGAGGAAAGAAAGAAGTTCGAAGGTCTCCACTCTCCTTATAACAAATACTGGATCCCCTGCGTTTGGTTCACCAACCTGGCTGCTGTGGCTCGCTGTGAGGGCAGAATCAAAGACGATCACACACTCAAGCTACTGCTGGAGGTGCAGCATTACAAACACACACACCCTCACACTGCCGTGCCTGTTCTGACAAAGATTCAGTTTGAGATGTAAAGTCAGCAAATCTCTGTTTGTGTGGGAACAGGAGCTGAATGCGTTCAGAGGGAAGTGCAGCATGCTGTTTCATTATGACATGATCAGCGTGCCTCTGGTGTACACTCAGGTCAGTGCTTACTTTTACACATATTTAAGTGAACTCTGGTTTTCTGGCACACATAGAACACACCACACATTCTTTTTTTTCTGATTTGGTCTTTCATCGTGTCATAGTCTTCCACTCTGGCCACAAAGAAGCATTACATAACTGTAACTGTATTTGTTACAGCTGAAATGACAACAAACCTGCAGGTGATGGAGAAGGTGCGTTCATGTTAACTAATGTGTACCACTCTAAAGAAATTACTACATACAGTGACTCCATAGAACATTACTATTAAATGATTCAGTAATAAAATAACAATGGAGCTATTTCTCCTTTTGCATTTTATGATTGGAATTTACATTAATGATAGCTGCCATCACTAACTTTAAAATCACATATTATTCCCCTTTTCAGCAAATTATTGAAAGTCTCACATGTCCCTAGGATGTGTCTTTCAACTTTTCATCTCAAAATACAGCAAATACTGTTTATTTTACTACAACTGTACAACTCCAGGCTTTTGTCCCATTCTAAACAGGTTTAAGTATATGAGTCCAGGAACTTCTGTCGCTTCTTTCTCTCTAAACAGTCATTTTACAAGGAAATAACACCAAGTACACAGCATAGCTGTTGTTTTTAACACTCACGTGTTTCATGAGTTTGTCGGGCAATGTTGTGCTGAGAAAAACTGTGTTTTAGCAGTGCAGCGCAGCAGCTTAGGAAATGGCTCTGGAGTGACTTCTGGTTGACTCGTCGTTGGCTGTGTTTAGTCATGGTTTTATATTCGTTTCATTGCCTGACAACTGAGACAGAAAAACAAGTAAATGAGAACAGCTTTTGGGGATTTTGCTCTATTAAAATGCGTAATGTGTGAGCACAGAGAGCAGGAGAGAAGCAAACAGATTTAAACATCAGCTAAGTTTAGGTTTCACTGAAGCACAACAGGTGGCATGAAAACACTGTAGCACACCCAGTCTTTGTTTACTGGTTTCAAATTGGCCTTGAAGTTTCCACAGAGCTCTGACGTGTGGTCATACCATCAAAACTAATGGTGACATTAGTCATGTTAGAGGCACAACGGGCACAACTAAGGATTTTCCTATTGTTGTAGGGACATTGCCATCAAAAATAGAAGTAACCTTCTGAGTCTTCATGTCTTCAGATGCTGGGAGTGCATGAAGACTCTTTTGTTCACTGTTGCAGCCAACAGCAGAACATTTGGCGAGCTTTGCTCATGGTTGAAACATTTTAGAGTTAGCAGAAGCTGCCCTGGAATCAGTGAGGGTGAAGATTATATAATTGAGGATTGATCCAGATGACTTTTAGTACCTCAGTTGGAGCATATCATTCAGGTCAAATTTCTTGGGACTCTATCCAGTCAGATTAACAGATTAATGGTGTCAATCTCAACGGTTTTCATTTGAATAACTGTCTGTTAAGTCATTGTCTATTCTCAAGAGAGGTGAAACAATGGTGATTGAGCCTTTGAGCCGCTGATGATATTTTATGAAGACCGCTGCATTTACAGGATTATGAACTGGGCGACATTCCCACGCACCATTACACTGACACGTGTTCCATCATGCATCACTTAGCTTTCTGCCAAACAAGCTTGGTGGGGCTAATGCAACAGACTCCCTCAGAGGACGTTATTCCCTTTCCACCTTCATGTGTGATGACCTTAAATTGTTACAGAGGTGTGGCCCAGGCGCCAACTGCCAGCTGACTGACAACATCAAAGAGGCAACATTGTTAGGATCTCTGAGAAGTGAGGCTCAAGAACATACCTGAAATGATGATGTATTGCCACCAAAGTAAACAAATCAGAGGTCGTAGAGATCGAAACTTCACTGTCTTGCTCTCGGTCCATCATGAGCAGTACCTGGAACACAATTTTAAGCTCAGAAATGCTGACATAATACAGTATTGATAACATGGATGTGAAAAAAAAAGCCTGTTGGCTTTTCGTAACACTTAACTTGTTTACTTTCCTAGCATTTCTAAGTACTAAGTAAATATTTAATGAGCACATTCACACTAATGTAGTTGTATGCAGCAATTAGTGCACTTTAAATTGTTTATTAATGTATTCATATATTTTGCAACAATGATAATTGCTCCTATGAGAATATATTTTATGTTAATGCAACTGTATTACTTTATTGTCTTTCATTATTTGCACTTGATCCGTTATAGTTGTTTAAAATTACATTATTAAACAGTTATGTCTGCTTACAACTTCTTTATGGTCTGTTATACACCTTTTGTTATTTGTTTATGTGTGATTTCTTTCGTTCGTTCTTTCTTTCTTTCTTTCTTTCTTTCTTTGTTTCTTTGTTTCTTTCTTTCTTGCTTTCTTTCTTTCTTTCTTTCTTTCTTTTTAATTAAATAGCATCGACCATTTTCAACATAAACATTTTGACCGATCCTTACAGCGATGGCAAATGGTTTCTTAATGTCATTAACCCTCTGAACCCCAAAATTTACCAGTTGTTGGGAGGGCATATTATCTTTAACAATTCATTAAAATGACACCATATATCAAAGTCAAAAACTGTCAAAACAGGAAGATTCATTGGATAGTGTGTCATGCTGTTCCTTTGAAAAGATTTGCCAAATCTAAGCTAAACATCATGATATTTCATCAAATCACTTTTTTCTGAAATCCAGTTTTAGTTTTTTCTTTCATTCAATGCATAGAAGACATTTTTGAGCTCTTTCTGTGTCTAGCCATGGATGTGGTGTTTCCATAGGTTGTAGGACTTTATACTGCAGTGAAATCTAAAAAAAAAAAAACATAACAGGATCAAAAAAATGTCCTGCTTGGGGTTTAGAAGGTTAAACAATGACTTAGGGCTGATGCTATAGCTCAACTGGTTGAGCTGGCGACCCATGTACAGGGGCTATAGTCCCCGACGCAGTGGTCGTGGGTTTGAATCCATGCCCATGGCCATTTGCTGCAGGTCCTTCCCCCATTCTTCTCCCCACTTTCCTGTCTCACTCTCTACTGTCCTGTCAAATAAAGGGGGGAAAAAAGGCCAAAAAATTACTATAAAAAACAAAACAAAACAAAACAAACAAGCAAACAAACAAAAACAATGACCTGAATGGAATACAGCTCTAATAAAGGCATAACAACATGTAGGGAAAGGCCTATTAGTGGAACATATAGAACACAAGTTATTATGTTAACATAGCAAACATGACGTGTAATCACTTTTCTCCATTCGTCCCTCAGGTGGTGACTTTGGCCGTGTACAGTTTTTTCCTGGTGTGTCTAATCGGTCGCCAGTTCCTGGATCCCAGTCAGGGTTACCCGGACCACGACCTGGACCTCTACGTGCCCATCTTCACCCTGCTGCAGTTCTTCTTCTATGCAGGGTGGCTCAAGGTCAGATAGAGGGTTACATTTGCTAACTTTTGTGGCGTGAAAGCCGTCGGTGCTCTCTGTAGTTAGCTTTATTATAGTTTCTGTTTTGTCCTGAAGGTCGCAGAGCAGCTGATCAACCCTTTTGGAGAAGACGATGATGACTTTGAGACCAACTGGCTGATAGACCGAAATTTCCAGGTTTCTTAATTTATCTTTTTTTCTAATTTTGTCAGGCAATTTGAGATCCCAAATGGGAAATCTGAGGCTGTTATTTCAAATACTGCTTCATCAATCTCTCCTTTGGTGTCTTGTCTGCAATTATTCATGCAAATTCTACATTTTCCTACTCCTTTGACATTAAGTTCACCACCTTTCTTTGCTGTGAATACATTGCATCTGTTTGTAATTTGTTCTGCAGGTGTCCATGATGGCTGTGGATGAGATGTACGGAGATCTGCCCATGATGGAGAGGGACCGCTACTGGAATGACTCCAACCCCCGGCCCCCCTACACTGCAGCCACGCTCTTTGTTCTCCGTAAACCCTCCTTCCAGGGCTCCACCTTTGACATGGCGTGAGTTTCTGTGTTTTACCTTCTCTATTTGTGGCTGTGACAATTTCAACTGGAATCCCCCCCAGACTGTGGGAAAATCTGGGTGGTGAAAATGAAAGTTTTCTTAGTGAGAAGTCGTGAGAGCTGAGATAAAGTAACAACACAACGCAGTCGCTGTAAAGTTTGGTGTTTTCAGGAACATGAAACCCAAATGATCGTGCTGATGCTTGGCAGGATTCCTAAGGAGGAGATGCACTTCCAGCCCCTAGAGGACATTGCTGAGAACTTGGAGGAGTCGGGCACTCGCCACCCCAACATGGCCCTCTTCAACCGCCTCCTCAATGCAGCCCCTTCCCCGACTGGCTTCATGGGAGGAGCTCTTCGCCGCACCTCAGCGCAGCTCCAGAGGCTCCACCACTCCCCCAGCATTGACCAATGCACCAGCGATGACGAGGAAGAGGACAGCTGTAAAATAGGCAAAGGGGGTTCTCTGCCGTCCGGGCTGGGACAGGAGACCCAGAGCACCGTGTGCAGCTTCAGGGAGGAGAAGAGCGTCCGGACGCCTCTGCTGGAGATTCAGTTTGGGGCTGAGCCGGACAAGCGAGGAGGGCAGCCGGAGAGGATGGAGGTGAGCAATGAAGTGGGTGAAAGAGGGACAGCAGAGAAGAGGGAGACCTCCAGAGCTCCAGTGTCACTGCTTCCTCCCCCTCCTCAGTCCACCAGAGAGATGTCCCCTCGACCGGCCTCCGCCATCGTCTCTGGTCACCCCTCGGCTTTCCTGTTTCACCCGGCTGCTCACTCCAGTCTGGAGCACTGCAGCTCCCAGCCAGCCATCAATCACAACAAGGCTGTTCCCGCCATCCCCAAACCTCCCTTTGGTGGAAACAAAATGTCCTTCCTCACTGTGCCGTCTTACAACGAACCTCAGCGTTTTCGCAGTGTGAGCATGGGCTCAGAGCTCACAGGCTCTTAAAGTGGACGATGTTGTGGGACGATGTGGTGGTGTGACGTCCAAATGACAATTTTAAACTCTAACTGCATGCTCTGAAATTAGTCACTGGAACTTTTAATATTATTCTCAGATGACAGCACATTTGGGGACATGCAATTTTTTAGAAATTAGTTTATTACATAAAACATTCCCTAATTTTGTTATTGAAACCACTGTTGAACTTGCATTGTAAACTGTACTGCTTTTCAAAGATCAAAAAGGAGGAACGGTTAGAAAGGTTTGTATCTGTAGGCGCTAATATTAACTTCAAAGGAATATTCCAACATTTTGGAGTGTTTTTAACATCTGTACCACAGCAAATATATGTTTGGCATTTAGTTAAGCTTAGCGTGGACATTGAAGGCAGGGAGAAATTTATTGACCTGTTTTAATTTTCTTGCAAACCACCTGCAAGTGAATCTCAAGTCAGTTGTGAAAGTTTACAATCAAGACTGTGATGCTCTTTGAGTATTAAACAAAGTTTGCACATAAAATATTGCTGAAAAGAAGACAAAATGCATGGGAGAATTTATCCACTTTATTCACCTTGATTATTAAAAATAATCCTGTAAATAGAATGATTTCTAAAGCATTATCTTGTGTATTTTAACCTGCTTTGTTTAAACAAATATTGAATAAAATGAAGGTGATAACAGCACAGTTTTACATCTGTCACATACATGTCATTGTTTTTGCATTGCTTCTAAAACGATATTCTACCTGTAAAAAACTACATTTAAAATATGATACAGTGAAGAAATAAAAAGACACTGTGGTGATTATTTACAAGCTTGAGTGTAGTTATATAAAGGACACAACAGTCGCCTCTGACCCTGATGCAGTGCCAACATTGACCAGCAGGGGGAGATAGCAGCAAACCAAAAACAGCACAGACATTGAAACAGCCATCAGCCACTGAAAAAAAAAAGACAGAAAATCCACACATTCTTCCACAATCTTGATTTCCAGTTTGCCCATGAGTGGGCCGGGCTCCTACCTGGGCTCCAGCTGGGGGGACACCGCCCTCCTGGCCTGAGTGGACTGTCTCTGCTTAGCCAGGAAAGACTGAGGCAGGCCAGGAGCTCCAGAGTCCTCACTCAGGCTGTGCTGCTGCAAGAAGCAACAACTTCAGTGGAAACACTTGGGTAATTTGTTCACCAGAACTTACTGTTCTAGTAATTTCTACCACACCTATGAACCTCAGGCTGTACATATTCCAAACACAAAGGATAAAAGTACTAATGCTGCAGCTACGAGACCTGATCGTGTCCAACGCTGGCATGAAGCCATGTCAGCTCCCAATAACAAACTGTGTTTTTTACTGTCTAGTAAAATGCAACTGAATGGGGCACATGGTTAGCATGGAGCCAAAACAAGACCAAGTCCTGGTCCTTGTTAGGTTGTTAAAGTACTTAAAAGTGAAAGAGTGCAAAGATTAGTTGTTGTTAAGTGAGATGTTTTTTGTGTAGCTCTGAGGATTGTTCAAATACAACAAAAGCAATGCTTGACTGAGATGCGACAAAAACAAATATTGTGTAATCTATGCAGCCACTTGTTTAGTTTAAGTTTGATTCACAGACATGGCATGGTGTCCCACAGATTTGTTTTTAAACTTTCCATGCATTTCTGATAAACATATCCGAAATAAAGTGGATTTTTTTTTTTTTAAACATCGATGGGTTCAGTTCAAAGAATTTTCCTTGCTGATGCTCTCACCATGTTATGCCAGGTGGCCAGGATCAGTTTCTCCTCTTGTTCCTGTCTCATCCTTGTTTTATTACTCTGAGGGTCCTGTAGTCACGACATTTTCAAGTCATTCACCAAATTAGCACAATCAGATGATGGGCCCGACATGACCCAAAAGCAAGCCTGGTCTAACTCACCTCTGAGGCAGCCGCCAGCAGACCGGCCTCCTTGTTGCTGGTCATTGTTTGAAATAGTTTGCAACACAGACAAATCCAAACAAGATAAAAACCAAAAAACATTTGCGTGACTGCCAAACTTTTGCAGCAGCAGCCTTGTGACCTGCCCCGTCTGTCTGCGGCTCACTGCTGCTCTTGGCTGTGTTTTGCAGCAGAGGCCCTGGTTTTGTTGTGTGACAGATTGAACAACATGGAGAGGTGCTGCAGGCTTAAGTGCTCTGGCTCCTCGCCACAGTCAAAGATGCCATCCTGCTGACTCGGGCACATTCGCTGTTAGACAGTCAGTCACCAGGCAGGGGGATTAGTAGGTAAGAACCGTGACACAATGCAATTAGCTTGGCAATAGATGTGGCACATGTTAAAACGTTGCGAAGTAAAGTTGGGTAAAATCCTATTAGCGTAGAGATCATAACCTGGAAAAACAGAGAATAAGAAGGAAAATTGTTTATTCCTCTGTCAGCAGCATCATGTCACGGCGCTCTGATGTCTATACAAAGATCCAGGAGTTTCTACACGTTTGTTTGTCTGTTTGACTGAGTCATTACCAGCTTCAGTGACCCAAAAACACCGTAGTTCCCCTACTTTATCACTTGACCAGCATCAAAGCTCTGCAGTATCAGATTATCAGGAGACATTAAGCAACAGAGAAACTGTCCAGCTGCTTGTGGCAAGTTTTTTTTAAAACTTTTTTTTTTTTTTAACTGGAGCCCCTGTATTTTCTCTCTCCCAGAGTCAGTTTTTTTTTTTTTTTTTTTTTTTTTTACAAAGGTCAACCCATTCCAGTCTTTGTGCTGGCTTCAGGGGAAATGTGGTTTATGCTTTTGTCATTAAGTGTGAAAACACAAGTGTGGGGGAGGATTTTCAAAGAACTGCGTGTTTCTCTGGAACCAGGAGAACTGAGGTCAGCAGGCAGCCTGACTGAAACTAACTTGCATCTACTGCAGCTCCTCACAAGTGATCAGACCATATTTACCACATGTGTGTCTGCAAGAGTGCGCACACGTGTGTTTTCACATATCAAGCTGAATACGTAGCCACTATCTACTTTCAGTTTGTGGACTTTGTGGAAAAGATGTGCGTTTCTGAAACAGAAACAACGAAAAAAAAACAAAAAAACAGAGAAACAAAAAATGTGGGAAGAAAGGAAAGTTTCACAGATAAGTTTCTTGGAATCTGAAACCAGTGAATGTTTACCCTGTTATGAGAGATGTGGATCACAAGGCCACTGCAGACACATGAGGTGGTGCTTGCAGATTCCTGTTAGCTAGCGCTGCTCGAACATCTGTTGTGAAAGCTCCCTCCTACTGCTGCAGTTTCTGAGCTGAAGAATCTCAGACTGAAATTTCGGAAGATTTTTGCTCCGTCACAGTCGGTTTCCTGGCATCAACTCATTACACGAATCAAAGTTCTGTTGAATTTAAGAATGGGCAGCTATAAATATCCCAGTCTCATTCATCAAACCCCTTTTTGTAGTTTTTACCATAATTTTATCAGACATCTGAGAAAATGGTCAAGTCTAGCCGGGGTGGGTGACTTCAGCCAGATCATCTTGTTTTGAAGTAAAACTGAAAGTGAGCACACCCAGAATGTCAGTAATACCTTTTTACTGAACAGGAAATTGCGCGCATGGAAACACGTCAAGCGCAGTGGGTCAAAGCTGGACAAGGAAGTTGGACTTTAAACTGCTAGATTTCAACACGCAGTTGGGCTACTAACGTTGCTGTTGTGTTTGTTTTCTGTTCCGAACGCTTCTGAAACCCGTCTGATCCTGTCCCGTCCTCACGTTCAGCAATGTCACCAAAATCTCAGAGAGCAATCCATTATCAATACTGATTGAATTGAATACAGAGCAATAATATTCAAATATATTTAAAAAAGAAAAAAAAGGGCCAAAATGGCTGTATCATAGCCAAGAACTATAAAAACAAAAATATCATAAAATTGTGACCGTTCCAATGGTCCTTGAACAGTTCATCTGATGTGCAGTTCCATTGGAAAACCAAATCTAATTGTGATATTTAATCAAACTTTTTCTCCATGTTGTGCCAAAAAATTAAGAATTTGCATCCAGCAGATTCTGTAAAAAAA